CACACACACAGAGAGAGAGAGAGAGAGAGAGAGAGAGAGAGAGAGAGAGAGAGAGAGAGAGAGAGAGAGAGAGAGAGTCTCTCACTATCGCCAACCTTCTTTCCCCTCTAACACCATACTGCCAACCTATTCTATCATACCAAATAAAACCAATCGACACATATAGAAAATTTAATGGTCATCGCTGCTCATTTCATCATCTTCGTCAAAATATTTTTTAAATCGTACGTATCGTTACTGAATAATTTACAATGCTACTCCACAATTTTTGTTTCGTAACAAGGTACATACATACAGGGTGTTACGCCTAATTAAGAACAGTGAAATATTTCGAAATAGATCAAAGCTACGAAAACAATGTTTATACAAAAAGTGTTCAGTATAAAGAGATGTTTTAGGTAGTATTTTTTTATGGACATAATGGTGAATATTTCAAGATCAAGTTGATTTTTTAAATAGGACCATATTACGATAGCTGGTTTCAATACGAATACAATGTTGTATTATTTCTTTCAGATAATCATAAATTAGAAACAATTAAATTAGCAACAACGGATGGCGGACGGTATTATGAAAGGTGTAAGGAAATACACAAAGGTTCGATTTCTGTTTCAATTCAATGCAATGAATTGACATTGTTGCTGTTACCCAATACAGATGCAACGAGGCGCAAATAATACACTGACGATGAGCATAAACAAAAGACGAACTTTTCTGCGTTTCCTTATGCCTTTTGTATTTCCAATAATCAGCCTAAATAGTATCTTTAGTAAATCAAGACGAAAATAAAAAGATTCTAAAGTGTTGGGTGTGTGAAAATGTTTACTCTACAGGAAAAAGTCGAAGTAAGTTTGACTAAGAGGTGACGATTTTAATTCATACCGACAAGTGAGGGACGAATTTCATAGGCGACATCCGAACAAACTAAAACCTGCAATTTCAGTAATACGTAAAATCGTAGATGTATTTCACCAAACCAGAACCCTTCTACGGTAATCAAGAAAGCGACTGAAACTAAGCCTGAGAACAACGATTTGGCTGGAGAAGATATCAGAATAACACGTCAATCGAGATGTGGGCAACCGACATGACGCGACTTGTAATATCGTCCGCCATCCGCTATTGCAAATTTAATTAGTTCTAATTTATGATTACCTGAAAGAAATAATACAACATTGTATTCGTATTGAAACCAGCTATCGTAATATGACTAAAAAAATGTATTGTCCTATTTAAAAAAAATCAACTTGACCTTGAAATATCATTCACCATTATGTCAATAAAAAAGTTATTGATGCTACTTATAACATCTCTTTATACTGAACACTTTTTGTATAAATATTATTTTCGTAGCTTCGATCTATTCCGAGATATTTCACTGCTCTCAGTTAGGCGTACATCCTGTATGTCCATTGCAAATCTTGTATAGAGTAATACTGAAAAAGATTTGTATTTACTTTGTTTCTTCTACTTGTTTTCATTGAATTAATTGTTGAAAAGTTTTTGCATAAAAGTAGTATTATTGGGATTGTTTAAATCATTTCCTGTATCCATTTTTAAGTCGGAAATATCTATTCCGCAAGATCTCTAACTGCTCGTTTTAATAATAAAGAACATAAACCGTGACTGATACCCATGATTCCGAAGAAATTCTAAACCGGAAGAAGAAGATACATTTCATTACATTTTATTCTTTAATACAACCCAATTTTCAAACCTTTAATTTGCAATTGCACTTTATTCTTTAACAAAACCCAATCTTTTTTTTGGTAAACCAATCGATCCCATTTATTATCATACGTATAAAAATACTAACCCAAATGTCAATACTTCACGATATATCTAACATTGTATGTCCGAATCGTATTTTATTGCAAAAAATATCTATATTATCAATATGAATTGGAGGAACTGATGCTATTTTTATTTACACTTGTAATCTCCTTCTCAGTTCTCATTGGTTACATTCCATAACATATTTTCATGTACAGTCGATCACAAAAATATTGGGACATTAGTATAACTTTGATTTGTACACCATATATTTAAATAAATATACATTAGTAGTGTATATAAATGTTAAAATACAACAAATTTTCAATTGAGTATGAAACGTCGCCTCATAATTGAAAAAATATAAAAAATCATCGAGTTTTCACGCCACATAAGTATTCGGATGCCTTATAAAATAAGGTTCAAAAGATATACAAATAAATTTTAACAAATTTTTTATTACTGATTCTATACCCCCATTGTTTAACAATATGTTTCAAGAATTTTGACATTTTTTAAATTATTATTTATTCAAGATCGATGTCATTTTATATCTCTACTTTACACGATTTTATAATTTATTCATAGTATGTATTGTCCTGTGTAAGACACGTGTAAATATAATTTGTTATCTTAATTTGTTAATGTACCTGAAGAAAGTAAAATTGGAATGCATTTTTAGTTGATTTTTCCCACATTACAAGTAAATGGGGCAAAAATGCATTCTAATTTTATAAATTTCTTTAAGAATGAAAATATATCATTCCATTTAGAAAACCTTCTATGACATTGAAATCTCAAAAAATACAACTTTGCACAAATGTTTTTGCCTACTATAATATTTGTCCCTCTGAACCAACCAATGTTTTCCTCTGACGCTTTTTGTTATCATAAAACATAAGCGATATTTTAGATGCTCGAGTTAGGTGAGACACCCTGTATTATAGACCTTTTTTATTTAATATTTTCGAAGTTTCTGTCTCCAAGGTTTTACACGAGTAATTATAATCGTAATTATAGATATATCGTGTTTTTGGTGTTATCTTAATTAGAATAAACAAGACTGATATGATGGTAATACAAATTTTATTGACGAAAACGAAAAATAAGGAATTTTCACTTTGGAACTTAAAATATTTTTAAGATATTTGTAGAGAAATATCAGTAGTGACACGTAAAATACAAAAACCCACGAGACCGGTGGTGGTAATGGTGGTGGGGGAGCATTACAAGTTGGCTGGGGAAGGGGATTGCTTAGCAATGCAATAGGACCGACGCGACGCCGAGAGCGACGCGAAATTTCACAAATTCAAAGCGTTGTGCGCGCGTCGATCTCCCCTTCCGTTGATTGCGTTGCTAAGCAAACCCCTTCCCAAGCCAACTCGCAATGCTCCCCCACCTTTTTGTATACTACCTATCAACACTACTGGGCACATTGGTTTAAAATAGCGTTGATGGGGAATATGCATGTGGGCTGTCAGTTTCTTTGCTCTAAAATAGATGATAATCCTATAGTGTTTCTTCCCAGTTACAAGTCGTTTGAGAAATAATCTATTGCAATCAATGCAATATTGTGAAAGCAATCAGTAACTACACTTTTCGATATTTTTAGCAAATCTGTGATCTTCCTTATGGTTTTATGTGGACCAAATACCTACCTACATTTGGAAGTCATCAAATACGAAAGATCTACCAGTACGAACAGCACAAATTGTTTTATGGGTTTGGGAAGTATTTTTCATGTAAGATAATAAAATAATATCAAAAGTCGAAAATGTATTTTATCGTCTTCTATTTACCAATGGTTTCCCAGTATTGAAAACTCGTTTAACAATAAGATATTTCGATCGATTAGGGGTTAGGAAATTTCTCCGATACAGAACTTTACAAACACAAATTTAGAACGCTGCGAATTTTCCAAACAGCCCAATATAGCAGATAATTTCGTTAAATATCACTTTACATAAAGATCTGCCATTTAATGATGATAGTATAATAAATAGATAAAGAAGGTATATTATCCGATTGATCTTTAATTAGGCGGCAGATATTGGTTGTCTTCGGTCAGAGTACTCTCCCTAAAGTCGTTGGAGATTACCAACTGATCGTGTCTCCCACTCGTTTTCGTCTGTTCTGAAATTGTTGACAGAGCCTGCTCGTACGTCTGACTAAACATTGTTTCTCTCATCCACTTGTCGTCCAACGGAGCAAAAATTCCAACCTGAAACGAGAAGTTTATGTCATTTCTATTAGATGATCATGTAAGTGTATGCTGAGGACATGTTTTTTGGATCAACTGTCCAAATTTCGTCTCCTGTTCAATCTTTGTTGTCAATCTTTGTTGTAGATGGACACGTAGAGGACATGCGAAGGTCAACTCAGTTTTCTTAATTGGAATGATCTATTTTTCTGGAGGGTATCCTAAAATTATATTACTTCCGAGAAATGTGGGTCATTTGAAATAACTTTTTTCTTAGCGAAAATTCAATCCGCGGCTTTGTTTTGCGAGTTATTAACGAAAAACACTAAGCGGCGGGCTCAGGTGGCTCAAGACGACCGAGCCAACAAGCGGTTGAAGCTCGTTTCTCATTGGTCAGTGTTTTTCGTTAATAACTCGTAAACGAAGTTGCGGTTTGCATTTGCGCTAAGGGAAAAGTTACTTCAAATGACCTCAGGAATCCTTCGTTTCCCGAAAGTAACATAATGTTCCATTTTAGACCACGAAGATATGACCTTCGTATGTCTTTTACTCATCTACTTAAAAGAAACTAACTACACTAAACGATGTCTCTTCCGAAATTCCTACGTACTCAGACATCAAAGTGATTTACAGTAATGCACAATTAAATTTACAGGATGTAACATACCATAAAGAAAATTTCATTTCCAGTAATTGTCTTATCTTTACTATTGAGGCATCAATGGATGGCTATTTTATAATTTATATTTATATTAGTAAGCAATCTATAGGGTGGGTCCCGTAATTCACATCTCAAATAACTTTTAAAAAATGGTTATTATAAAAAATTTCTTAAATACATGGTTTCAGAAGTGAGCAGAGGTTCTTGTATATAGATAGGTTTCCATGTTTTCAAAATCATGTAACTTAACGTTATTTGAGATATGTAAGTTATGTGATTCATCCTGCATAATAATACGCTTATTGGCAAACGTAGTCCGATTTACGTCATATTTGGATTCATTTTAATCAGTAGGATCTGAGCTTTTCATTGTTGCTACAATTATAAAAGTAAGACGAAAATGATTGAAAATAACATCTTCTTAATTGCATGTTTAATTTGACTGGCGATGGGAAAAGAGTGGGGCTAAGTCGAGTAAATTTAACGCTTCGTGTAAATTTTGAACCCTCTATCATGACCAGGTGCGTAGTTGTAGGATAGCCTTGCTTTAACGGATTTCGATCGATTTTCACTGTTTAAATACTTGCAAATATTTTGATAAAAATGTAACATGTCACGGCTGTCGTATGCATTTTTGATCATTTTCTCAGGCATTTATGTTGATGACTCTAGTTGTAAAAAAATGAAATAAACAATTTTATTTCCCAAAAATGCAGATTTCTTATAAAACTAGATTGGATTCACCAACCAAACATTTTGAGTGACAATATATTATCAAAGTATTGAGATGACAATTTTTTCAGATTTTTTAATTTGTTGCATCGTAAATAAAAAAAAATGTTTCTTGCTTGAAACAGCAACTTGTGCTGAAATTATTTTTTTTATTTTTCATTCTATGAATAATATAGATGTCAAAAGAGCAAAAGATTGGCTGAGCGGCTAGAGTGGCTCCTCGCGTATGTCACCTTATTTTTAAAGATCTTACACGTTCCTTTAATTCTGTAATCGATTACACCCGTTAAGTCAGGCCTGAGGAACATCTTTCCCACTATCGTTTCTACTCGGCAGTCGGTTGCCCTACCATTAGGCTATTCTCCGCTATACTATTGCATTAAGTACAGACTATGTGGCCCGTGGGCCATCAGTTCCCCGGGCCTGCTGTACGTAAAATGTTTACCTGATTCGATGATTGGCATCCTGTATCTTGACTATAAATTCCAGTTAGCTCGTAATACCCTTCCCCGTTTTGACAAGCAAGAGGTCCACCAACGTCGGCTTCGCAAACATTATTAATATCTTCTTTAGGAACGGTGCAGATGATTCCGTCTATAGCACTCTGGTATACATCTTCAGTTGCCAATTGCTCCTTGCACAAGTTCGTTGGAAGTATATTCATATCCACTGCATGCATAATTGCTCCAGTGTAATGCGCTAAATTCAAATAATTTTTACTGAATTAATAAACATGACTTTACAAAACGCTAACTATTGTAAAAGTAATAACTATCTGTTCTATGGTTAACTTGTCTCAAAAAATGTAACAACTATTCTCGATATTACAAATTTTCAACAAGTTTTAGCAAATTGTCATTCAATGTGTTGCCTTAAAACTGGGGATTTTTATTTATTTTTTTTTATAATTCGTTTAGGTAAACCACTTAATAATATCTACGACGTATTGTGTATAGAGTTCTGCGACCTAAATGCTTGAAGCACCTCAGGTGTTCCTGAGGAAAAATAATTTTTGATTTAATTGACAAAATTTCATTAAGGTATGGGAAAACAAAATCATCGCCCAATGTTTAGACGTGCTTGGTAAGTCAGTGTATACTTTTCAATGGTATACTTTAATATATAATACTTTTCATCGTAAAAATACAGAATTTGTTACCTTCCATTTTAATTATGAGTTGTTCATATCCAAACTTTTTATACAATTTATTTGCATTTAGACATATATGTACACACTCCTAATTATATATTAGGATAGATGTCCTAGTTTCTGTGCCTGTCCCAGTTTTGTATATAAATTTATACCTCCGTCTGAATCTTACATGCTGATAGGTAAATATAATAAAAAAATATAGATCATCAATTTATACATAAAACGTTTCTTTTTCTATGCGTTTTTACTCGCATGATCCAAGGAAAGAAAAGATTTTGTTATGCAAAGTTATTCTTTTCTGCATTTTCATATAATTTAATGTCGTAACAGGATTTTTTCAAACAGCTAGAGCCCCAAATTAGCGGATTAATTATAATTGGCTATTATCCGTTGAAAAAACAGTACGTAAAATCGAAAATAACGAATGTAATATTTAAAAAACCAGACATCTCGAAGCTTGACAGATACTGTAATTATTATGCTGTGAATTTTTATGCAAAGTAAAAATTGTTTGCATTAACTGCAAGATACAGAAGCTACATAGACATCTATTTTTTTCTTTAAACATTTAATTACTTGATTAAAAACAATAACAATGTTATTAAATTCTTTAAATGTTTCTACTGTTGTCCATTTAATCAACCCATTTTGTGTCATAAATCTAGTTTTCACACGAAATATAATTAGATCGTATTGGCCTTACGCATATCTTTAGTTTGTTTACATGAAAATTATTAATATAACATTTATTTATAACATTTATAAACATATGCACATTTTGTATACATATACTAACATATAAAACTTAAATTTGAATGATTAAATTATTAAAATATAAAATTAAATATAATATATCTATATTTATTATTATAATTATCATACAATTATTTTATATTATTATTTTCAATAATGCAAATACAAAATAAGGAGAGTTGTGCCTAATTGTGGTGCTTCACTTCTTATTTTTGCCATTGTTCTCGTTGATAGAATAAAATATATTCAAGTTTAATATGTGCCTTATAAAAAAAAAAAATAGGTATTGTTCAATCATCCAACGGAATTTTCGTTTTTCGGAGCGAATTGTTTTTTTGTTCAAATTTGAAATGACTTGATTCCCGGGGAGTTGCCTCTGGCTTAACTTCCTTCAACGAACGGTATGCAATGGATAAAAAGTACCATCTTTTAGGTCTCCAATTTCGTAGAGCCATAGCCTTCTTCCTTTCAGTTTTTAGGTTTATGATTTCTTGGAGCTGCCTTCACTCTGGCAATAAAGTAATCTCTGCACTTCCAAGTATTGCACGCCTCATTGACAGCATGTTTTCGATTTATAGCAGGCTCGCCAGCTCGCACTGCTTCGGTCACCCGCTCGGGATTTTCCGCTACCTATAGCACTGCGCGCTAAGTTACTTTTTTACTTCCCTTTCTATCTCGTTACTAGCCAATCAGTTTCTAGTTCTCTGTCTTCGAACAGTATAAAAATTCACTTCATATCAGTCTGCTTCAATCTATCTCTGAATCGTAGTCAGTCTTAGTCTGCTCTAATCGACTCCAGCTCACGCTAGTCTTCTAGTCAACCGTCTACCGCAGTCTTATCGAGTATCGAGTATCGAGTTGAGTGTCTTTTAGAGTGCCCCAAATTCAATTTTCAAGGTTAAGACTCGCCAAAACAGCTATTTCTCTTTAATTAGACGAACAATTCCGTCGCTTTAGCATCATCGGCCTTACAACCTGAGGGATTTTTAGAATCGCGGTGTTTTGATATCGAGTGCACACGCGAGTCGCCCACAGGTGTTGTAATTATTTGTAATTATTTTATTTTGTTTCAGACCAAATCTGAACCTAGCCCAGACATATCCCAGACTTAGCCCAGACCTAATTCAGATGTAACCTATATCTATTCCAGACCTAATAATCCTAACCCTAGTCTAAACGTAGCTTAATTAAATAATAATAATAATAATATAACAATAATATTTTATTTTTTCCTTATAACAATAATATAATAGTGTTTTCTTTATAGCAATAATATGATAGTGTGCTATTTGGGACTTGTGCAACAAAACTCTGAGACGTTATAGCTTGGTTAGAGATCCAGGTTAGGATTGGATTAGGTTTGCATTAGGTCTCGAACTTTAACTTTATTACGAATATCTCAAGAATTGAAAAAGATCAACCATTATATCTACAGTGTGTCCCAAAATTATATTACTTCCGGAAAATGAGGGGTTCCTGAGGTCGTTTGGAGTAACAATTTCCTTAGTGATAATGCAATCTGTGGTTTTGTTTATGAGTTATTAATGAAAAACACTGAGGAATGAGAGGCGAGCTCGGCTGGAACAAGGTAGTCGAACCAATCAACGAAACTAAGCTTTAACCGCTCATTGGCTTGGCCACCACGTGCCAGCCCAGAGCTCGCCCCTCATTGGTCAGTGTTTCAAATCCAATAACCGTGGATTGCGTTTTGAAAGAAAAAGTTATTTCAAATCGGGGATCCTTCACTTTTCGAAAGTAATACAATTTTGGAACACCCTGTATACATATATATATATAGGAATATATCGTTCAAAATGTTGACTTTGAGAGCATATTTCAAGGATATTGAAATTGGAGGTGACTCCCTTAAACTGAATATTTGTCAAAATATATAAAAAATACATCATGCTAGAAAAAGTTCATGAACAGAACACTGTTTTTGTCGAGTAGTGAAATGCTTAACCAACTGTTATTTACCTTGAAGTATTGATTTTCCCCAACCGGTGGCAATGCACGACTTATTCGCTTGCAGTTGATTCGTTTGTGGCAAGCAAAGCGGATTCACGTGATGATCGAGGATAGCTGGGGTTTCAAGATGCAGAATTGCGAGGTCATGCTTTCCGTGTCCTCTCGTGTAACCGGGGTGCATACTGATGGATGATACGTTCAGGATTTCGAAAGGAAGCGGTTCCTCGTGCTGGAGTTCGTATCCCAGCTTCCATTCGCCCAATTTTATCGCTACATCGTTCGGTACCATACTGGACAAAAATACCATAAAAATATATTGTAAATATTTTAGCACTTATTATAACGTACTTCACAGTACGTTTTATTACCCAACCGAAGCAAAATTTTTGTAGTAACAGTGTTATAAGTTAATACTGTCGGTATGCTTATACAATAGACTCCCTCCCGTGAGACTGCATCCCTAGCCGAATAAACGATTGGCCAATTAATCCGATTGATATACATACGTATATGGAAGTTTAAAATAAAATACGAAATATAAAGGATGGAACATTTAAATGGGAACACCTAAGTATTAAAATTATTATTAGTTGTATAAAAATATTCCGGAGGAAAAATTCATGAGAAATTCCGGATTTCTTCTCAGTCAACGCAACGTATATGTGTACAGGGTGTCCCAAAAGTTAATCAAAATCGGGAAATGAGGGATTCCTGAGGTCATTTGAAGTAACTTTTTCCTTACCACAAATGCAATCCGCAGCTTTGTTTACGAGTTATTAACGAAAAACAGTGACCAATGAGAGGCGAGCTCAGTCGGCACATAGTGGCCGAGCCAACGAGCGTTTGAGGCCCAGTTCCGCTCGTTGGTTTGGCCGCCTCGCGCCAGTTGATCTCGCTTCTTATTGGTTACTGTTTTTCGTTAATAACTTGTAAACAAAACCGCAAATTGCATTTGCGCCAAGGACAAAGTTACTTCAAATGATCTCAGGAACCCCTCATTTACCGATTTTGGGTAACTTTTGGGAGCAGTGGCCGCTGGCTCACGCATGCACACTACCGCGACATGCACAGAATGTTGAGTTTTATAACGTATCCAACGTCCATCAAAATCGAAGAGGAAGTAATCGTTCTATAATTTAACCTTTTTTTATACTCTTGAGGTAAAATTAAAAATTCAACCATTTAAAAAATGTACTGTTTCACTGATCTGACCTCAATTTTCGATACAACTGACGATGAATTGGCTGTATAGCGGTTGTTAATAATTTGATATCATGATCCATTATTGCTGTATGCGAAAAATTCTATTTCGAATACTCATAACAGTTATAAATAAGAGAAATCGTAATTCGATATCGTATTAAATTAGTTATCGATAACGAAAAAGATAGTTTTGATTTCATTTGACCTACTAAAATTTCGGCATTATAGCTGCAATTTATGTTTTAGCAGTGCGATTAGTAGAACTGTTAGTTCAAATTAATATCAATTAAAATCAAATTTGAATAAAAACTATACAGTTCATTCATGACGATAAACCTATAGCCTACACGCGACAAGAAGTCTCCTTTATGTTTACATTCCCCCTCTTACTAGTTGTAACAGTGGGGCAGCTAATAAGAGGGCGAATGTAAACACAAAGGTGCTTTCTTGTCGCGCTATACAATAAATACAATCTTTTTTCGTATTGCATAAGCTTTTGCTTCCGACGGTTTATTTAGGGAGATACAGAAAAGAAATATATTTTATATACATAACGAAAATAATATGCTAATATGGCAATTACAGAAGCCCTATTTTGGACACCTGTATAAATCCGTGGTCTACACTGTGCCAAATCATATTAATTAATATGATTATATAATTGTATATTCACATCTAATTATACAATTGGTTATCATTTAATAAAACACAATTTCTTTTATCGATTACTTTTAGAGACAAATAAATTAAATTTTGCTGTGTCTAACTGTTCTGGCCGATTGAAAAATCACTTTATGTATTTATGATAAAAATGGATGTGTGAGATAATCAAAAGCGTAGAAAGACTTAAAGGTACTATGTATTATGTTATTTGCAACTTGTGATTAATGTAGACAATTTTCATTTTACATAAAGATCCGCAGTCTATTGATGACTACTGTAAGTTGGAATTGCCATTCAAATCGCTATTGGTAACCGAAAATAAAAATCTTTAAATTATATGACTTTTCTTTAAGAATTTCAAATACATTTCACGTTTAATAGCTCCAACTTCGATAATGAACAAGTTTTTGTTACAGAATCTGTCTAAATTTTTTTAATAATTCTCTATATATCTGATTCCTCGAAAAGGCATAATCTTTTTGCACAGTATCTTTGTTTCATGTTATTAAAGAGTTCATAGAAAACCCAAATCTTTTGATCGAAACTGTTGTAAACAATTCTCTGAAGAAAACCAATTTACACTATGCTAAATATTCAGGATTCACTTTTGGATCGTAGAAACTGACGATATTTGATCTGTCATAACTTTGTGTACAAAAAATCATACAAAAGTCTAACTGGACTCATTTCGTAGAGTAAAGCCTCTACTGAACAGCCTTTTAATCTAATTTTTTCGAAACTCCTTTTTCGTTGCAAAGCAGAGTGGAAAGCTACTTTTTTTCTTTTCTACAAATACAAAAGAGTTTAACACATTTTTGAGAGATTTGTACCAAATATTTGGAAATTGACACATTTTTTCTCGTCTTTGTAGCACAATATTACACATATTATGTACAGTATTATTATGTAACAGTGCTGTGCATAATTACCGACTGAAAATAACTTTTACGTTGTTAATGACATTTAAACAAAAACTTAACAAAATATCGTATTTGTATATTTCTATTTGCTATTATTTCTAATATAGAAATATACAAATATAATGTCTTTTTAAGTTTTTTTTAAATATATAGGTTGGTACAGTTAAAAGAAACTATTTATAGTGTTTTTAGTCAAAAACAAAAAGAATGCTTTTATTAATTGTAATATAGAAGTATACAAATATGGTGCTTTGTTAAGTTTTCGTTTAAATATTACGAACAAATGTGAAAGTTACTTTGAGTCTGTAATTATTCACATCACTGTATTATGTAAAATTTCTATAATGAAAATTACGCAAAATATCTCAATGGAAGTGAAAGTTACTCGAATAAAAAAGGCTACATATCCGCCACCTGTTATTACAGTATGAAAAAAAGTTAAAATACGTAAAACTTTATATCCAAAACATTTCGAACAGTGATCTTTAATGGTTGAAATGCGATACGGTGCGCAGTATCGGCTTTATCATCCTCCGATAGCCCCCCTTCGGTGACACATATCAATTATTAATGTAACGCATTCCTTTCTTGCAACGAACGTGATCGAGCACTTGAATTGTATGCACAGATGTTCAATGCACATTGTAGAACATCTTCCGTAGACAGTTCAACGATGAGTTTTTGCATATTGTTGCAAATTTAAAGGAAAACTTGATGATTCATAAATCGATCTTTACAGTGAGTTGTCCTGATATGGGATACACTGTTCTTTTTCGAAACAAGCTACTCGGATTCCGTGTTCCAAAAATACCAAAGAAAATTCGTATTGTATATACAGGCAAAGATAACTTGATACGATACTTCACTAAATAAATCCTCGCACGAAGAACAGCATTCGGCATCGTCGATTTATCTTTTCATCGGAAATAATCTTATCATTTGTTACACCGGGTGTCTCATTCGAACTAAACCACGTACTTTTCTATCGTATTTACTCCTTACTCGGAGAAATGTTTCACATCGAATCAATTCTGTTTCAAGAGAGACGTCTTATGAAGGACGTCAGTTTAGAATTTAGGTGAAAATGTTGCCAAGATCTCAAGGTGAAGAAGTTATATATTTTCGTTCAGCAACGCGTTTGCAGCCCTTTCCCATTTGTTGCCGTTTGAGTAATATATTTGTTAAACGGCCTTGAAGTTGTTCCGTATCTACTTTATCCAAAACGACAGCCTTGGACATCGATACAATCATTTATTCTATTCGAAAATTATAGTTTCACCTTGTAGAGTAAAAGTTGAATTTCCTTTGATTTTATTATTTTTACACGGTTCTAATAGGATTTTATGAAAGAAGCTTATCAGCTGTCGGATAATTGTGTGCAGTCCTTCCAAATACAATTTCAAGAACGTTTAACGCAAATCAGTTTTAAACGAACATTAGGTTAGTTTGAACACAAAGGTATCTTTGAGATGGTAATGCAAAGATTACGTTTAAAATCTTGCGGGGAAAATTACTTACACAGTAAATTCTCCCCAATTGTCCTTCAGCTTGTAAATAAAAATGGACAATTTGGGAAGAGGAGATACGATTATTCGAGTCTTGTGCCTCGTTTTAATAATTATTGACAATCGGTAACTATAAAAATGAGCCGCAAGGCTCGAATAATCGCATGTTCTCTTCCCAAATTGTCCATCTTTGTTTACAAGCTGAAGGAAAATTAGGGAGAATTTACTGTACAAGATTCATGACTATCTCGAAGCAGGGCGAATTCCATTTGAAACATTTTTGTCAGTGAGCGAATGCTTTGAGAATTCTTTGCGAGATTAAAATAAGACACCCTGTGTATGTTGTTTTTTACGATAATTTCTCCATGTACAGTCGGTTGAAAAAGTCACTGTGCAGCCTTCGAAAGGTAATAACGTTTTTAAAATTGGATCGAACGTTTTGAGTTTTTTAAAGATTTCCGAAAAAGTTGGTCAAAATGTAATTTTCAAAGTATACAGCGTGATTCAGTAAAGCTGTTACAAAGGAATATCTCCGTTACCGTTAACGATAGCCAAAAATGCCAGAGGAACAGATTGCATGGTTTGAAGATTTTATTTTTCGGGATTTCAATGTCATTGATGTTTTTTTTTAAATGGTCTATGATAACATGACCTTCACGTGACTCTGAGTACGAATAAATTAAACTTAAAACATTTAGAAATGATCACGGATGCTGAAATAGCTACAACAGAGAGATCAACAATGAAAAATTTATTCGAATAAATGTTCAAAATTATTTCCATTGACTTCTGCATATTTTTTTAATTCTGCGTATTTTTAATTCAAGTCGCAGCTGACTTTGGCGCGACAATTTAAATCGCGACGGGGCAATGCGATGCTTGACCGGCTTAAGGTCACGCGAAGGTCGTGTTACTATAGGTCATTGGATTCGTCTTGATTTTAGCTATCATGGTATAATGATATAAATATGTAATCTTATTTAAAATATCATCGATGACCTTGAAATCTCGAAAAATATGACCTTTAAAAAGAAATTATTTCCACTGCAACATGTGTCTGTGTGAACCATACAATCTATTTATCTAGCATTTTTGAATATCGCCAAGAATAACGGAGATATAGGTTTGTAACAGCTTTAATGATTTACCCTGTATAGTAGCAAAAAGCTGCAACAGTATATGTGATGTATACAATTCAGAGCACTAACGTTTGAAATGTTCAAATACCGTGTCTGATTACTGACATACAGAACGTCAAAGTTGACGAATTTTCGTGCTTCGTAATAGCATAAAGATGGTAACATCTTTAATGTGTCAAGCTAAAATCTATCCTTAAAGAAGCCATTTGTATAACATGTTACCATTATAAACATATATTACATGCTTTGCTAATATGTGTCTCATACATGACCTATAATTATCTTAATTCCCTGAAAGGAGTGATTGCTCAGGTAATTTGAAGTAACTTTTTCTTTAGAGCAAATGCAATCCGTGGCTTTGTTTACAAGTTATTAACGAAAAACGGTAACCAATGAGAGGCGAGCTCGGCTAGCGCGAGGTGGCCGAGCCAACGAGCGAACGAAAAGCTCAGTCCCGCTCATTGGCTCAGACGTCTTGCGTCAACCGAGCTTGTCTCTCATTGTACAGTGTTTTTTGTTAATAACTCGTAAACAAAGCTGCGGATTACATTTGCGCTAAGAAAGAAGTTACTTCAAATGACCTCAGGAACTCCTCATTTCCCGGAAGTAATATAATTTTGAGACACCCTGTATAAAATTGTGTTCGTGAACCAGTTCCCCACAAATTAAACTTCAGTGCACGAGGTATCAGAAGTACTTAATACCAAACTTAGTCTGTATATCCCATGAGAAATAATACAAGAAACCGCAAAAGAAAATCGTGCACTTAGTAAATTGATTGAAGTTCAAACTGTACACAACTAATTTTTCAGAAATTTCTTTATACAATTAAATATCTTATTAAAAATCGCAATTTTATATATATATATATATAATATATTAGGCGAACTTATTTAAGAACACAAGAATATGAAAGACGCGATGTATTAAGGTGGGATTCTTGTGTAGCGGGTCAAAAAATTGATTTCTTTTTTGCATAAATCAAGATAGTACAATATATCAAAAATGTGCTCTGTCAATTTTTTAGTCGTAAGTTTTTACTTTACGGCCCTGAAATAGCGGACTAAGTTTTGACATCGAATTTTAAACTATAAATATCTTGAAACCTTACTGAAAATTTTAAACGCGCTTTGCTCGATACCGTGTTTTTTAAATTGGCAGGCGAGATATCTCAAAAACTAATCGACTAATTGACTTGAAACGAAGTTTTATCATTTACGATACTTTTAACCTTTTAGGCACGACGCGCTACTATAGTGGCTTCCGTGGATATCATCTTTTAGAACGACACGCCACTATAGTGGCTTTCGCGGATGTCATCTCTCTGGACGACGTGCCACTATAGTGGCTTGCTCTAGTAGCTCACTCGCTCATCGTTTGAATCAAATAATCGTCTTCACATCGATTTACAACAGTCTACAGGGTGTTCCAAAAATGTCTCGCAATCCAAAAATGGCGGGTTCCTCGGATCATTTGAAGCAACTTCTTCCTTTACAAAAATTTTCTCCGAGGCACCATTAACGATTTATTAACGAAAAACAGTGAGCAATAAGAATCGAGTACGGCTGACGCGAGGCGGCCCAGCCAACCAGCGCACGAAGCCCAGTTCTGCTCATTGGCTCGATCGCCTCGCGCCAGCTGAGCTCGCTTCTCATTGGTCACTGTTTTTCGTTAATAACTCGTTAACGGTGCCTCAGAGAACATTTTTGTAAAGGAAAAAGTTGCTTCAAATGGCCTGAGGAACCCGCCACTTTCAGATTGCGAGACATTTTTGGGACACCCTGTATATGCAGGCAGAAAATACAGTATCAGACTCTGTACAGTACATATCAGACTCTGCCGTCCAGAGAAATAGCCTCGCGCAGAATTCAGCCGTACCTAAAAGGTTAAAGAACGCTTTTAAACTGAAATTGTATACCAGAAAAAAAGTAAAATTTGCTTATAAACAATAGAATTTGTTTAGTTTGTCAAATTTTTTATTTAAAATAGGTTCGATCCCAGCTAAAATTATTTAAGTTCAAGAAAATTTTTAATTTGTTGCTTTCTGGTGTCTGTCATAGATGCTACACCATGGCTACACCATTGAAGACGAGTGTAAGACTGGATCACTATTTAACAAGTAAAAAATTCGACTAAAATAATTGTTTCGCGCAGTTTAAAGGTTTCTCTTTACAGCCACCAAAATTATAGAACGATATAACTTTTAATTCTGTATAAATTATTTTTGTAATTTTTTTTATATTTTGATTCTAACAAAAAGTTAGTTGCAGAGATTATAAAGAAATTGAAATGAAATTCTGTGAAAACTATAATCGTATTGATTAGATATACGAACGTGTCCTTACGTGTCAATGCAGTTGGCCGCAGTTAGCACGTCGTGAGTGCTGACCAGTGCACCGGAACAAAGAATTTTCCTATCTTTCGACTGCAGTACCATGGCTTGCCACGGGATTTCGCCGAAAACTGTTCGAGAATCGCTCGTCTCTGGATTCTGTAATAAAAAATTAACGAAGCAATTGTAATATTTCAGATTATTACTATTATTCGATTTTCATACTTGATTTGATGGACAATTTTTGAAGTAAAAAGTTTTACCAAAATTGAAGGATCATGTGTAAAATACCCACGCAATTATCCACGACCGATTGTCCTCTGATTGTGCACATAATAGGCTTCATGGGTTCAACAAAGACAATACCGTTTCCTTTACTCTAACAATTAGACTGTTGATTTTATGCATTTGCAGCAAAATTGTGTAGTTGCAATTTAAAATAGCAGAAACATTAAAAGAATTTAAAAATGACAATGAGTTACTTTTTATTCATAAAAATTATTAAGGAAATAAAGAACTTCCTATTCAGTTTATATTCCTTGCAACCGAAGCAAACAATTTTAATTCTGCATAAACATCTGTAGTCCACTAATAATATACACAGGGTATAAGGGTGATTGGAAAATTACTTATCGAATCAAACAAATTTTCAGACGGAAGTTGTGTGATATCAAGTGGGACACGCAGTGTAATAATTAAATTTTGAATAGTCCGCTTTTTTATCTACGTGTTAAGATCACCTTGAATTTTTATATCGTGATGTGTAATATTTGATCTTGTGGTTCAAGGAAGTATGTACCGAGTAATAAGTATATATTACTATAAATATATTACTATTACGATAATGTATCATTGTAGCAGACCTCAAGACGAATTCAACAAACTATAACATCGTAACCTTTGAATAACCTTGAATATTCTTTCTTTTTACTTCTGTACAGTAGTGTATACTTCTTATTTTTCCTTAATGATTTCCTAGCATTCCTTCCATTATATTAAAAAATGTTTTGATATTTCTATTAGAAACGATGCTGCTTCCATGGAAATATTGTTCACTGTACATGGGTACGTGACGAGTTGGAAGAAAGTACATATGTACGTCCAAATATACAGGGTGAGTCATTTAACTCTTCCACTTTAATTTTTCTTCTAAAGTACATGTTGTAGAAAAAAGATGTTTCCAACGAAAGTTGTTTGATATAGAGAGGAGCATACACGGCAACAATTAGTTTTTTTCTATTTTCCTTTTTCCCCAAAATATGAGGTTAACTTGGCAAAATTTGAAACATTTACACATGCATCACTCGCATTGCTTAATCGGCTATACGCTTGCATTAATCGTCATGGACAACATTTTGAACATTTTTTCTATTAAAAGTCAACCTTAATAATTTTGTATTCTGTATTTAATAGACTATTTAATAGACTGCTATGTTTTCGTATAAACATATCCCCATGAAACTACTTAAAATAAGAACAGTTAACAAATTTATTACCGCTTTATGACTTAAATAATTGTACAATGCCCGAATTGTTCCAAACAACACAGTAATTTCTTGATATCCTTAATTTCGTTGTAAATTGCGGATTAAAATTTCTACTAGACGTTTTGGAATTGTTTCATATAGCTTTTTAAATCTTTTTCGCCCGTAAATTTGTCCAATTTTCAATCATTCTTAACTCTAGTTTTTTAATAAATTTCTGAGTTTGAGAATGTTTTTGTAGATAATTACTAAATTAAATATGTAATCTTTCTAAGAGAATATGAATGCAAGATTCAGCTTTATTTTCCAAATTTTTAAAAGTAAAAATCGTATAAAATTGCGAAATTATTCGTTGCTTTCGAAAATCCTTTTCGTAGAGTAGAGCATTGATTGCTGGCCGTTCCAGTTGAAAAGTGCTGGGATGGCTGAATGAACAAAATTTTCTAGATTCATATATTAAAAAGTATTATCTAAAATGTAGCTTCCGGGTTTTCGAAAATTTTAATAACTGTAGAAATGGTCGCCGTTTCAAGACATTGGCAAATACGCTGGACTGTGTGGTCAAGAATCCTACGGAGCAAAAATAACAGGTCGAATATCGCGCCGCGTGTTTCAATTGGCGTAACAGGGATACGGATGCGCGAAAAGAGTGAGACCGCAAGCACGGTAAAGTTCTGGTTTCGCTGGTTTCGTTCTGTCTCTCTCGATCATCTCCCGTTCTCATTCTAAATCAACTGCGTGAAGCTGGATGCGCATTAAAATGGTGGGGATAAACGCGCTCAGAATGAAGAGGTAAAAATCGCTCGTTATGAGGACACTATTGTACATAGATTAAGATATATTAAATAAGTAATTTAGGCTCATTTTAAATTTGTGTTCCCTAGTAGATAAGTATTTTATGCTTATTACAGATTTGTTTACTATGAAATAAGTATTCTGAGTTTATTATTGAAGTAGATTATATGTAACTCGCGTTTCAAGTAGGTGTGGAGCCTATCGTAGAGCGGCGCTGCTGTTATGTGCCCTTCTAACCTAACTTGTTGATCGTAGCCACGTTGTGCCATGCTACGTATCGTTTTTGTGCGTTATTGTTTGTTCTGTAGCTTTGTTATAAACTGTATTCATGTGTTGTTGTATTTTCTATGTATATATTCATTTGTAGTTTCTTTGTATTATATTAAATATATTTACTATAACCTTACACTACGCCATCAATTATAAAGCTACATTTGCCATTAAATGCATACATATTTTTAGTTGATTATAAGGATGTGTTTACCATTAAATATGTATTTTAATTTCATTCTTTTTGGAACATATAATAAATTCAGAAATTTCAGGAGAAATTAATATTGGATTTTGATTTTATTACAATAGTATAAAAAAACAAAGTTAAAGAACTTGATTTGTACAAGGGTGAATTGGATTGTGACAGGGAGAAGAATGGTAAATTTGATTTAAAAAAATGTGAATATAATTTGCAAAAGGATTAATTTGGAGTGAAAAAAGATGAATATGATCTACAAATGGATTAATTTTAGGTATAAAACGTATAATGATTCTCTTACTGTCGTAAATTTACACATTTATATAATAAGTATGAAAACCTGTGATAACAATAGTTGCAACGGTATGATTAATAACATCCACCAAAACAATATTTCTGATACAGAATTTAATTTTTTAATAAACTTGAATTGGATTCATCACTGAAGAATACGGTAGTAAAAAATATGTCTTGTATGACCAGCAATGGTATCACAGTTCCTAGCTATTGTGGATGCTTACATTGTCCAAGCAGATTCCATGCAATATGTGACAAAAATGTACAAAGGAAACACAAAATAGTATAAGCATTAAAAGAATTTAAAAATGTTGTCAACTTATTTTCATCCATATAAAACTACTAAGAAAGCTTACGATCTTACTACATTTTGCTGCAAGTGTAAAAGGAAATATTTGAATTTGAAGTAATATTTGTGTAATTTGTTTCTTGAAACGACCTCAAGGAGAGTTTGATTTGCAGATGGAAGAATTTGATTTACAAAAAGGATAAAATTTTATTTGCAAAGAAGATGAATTATATCTTTCAGTGACATGAATTTAATTTATAAAAAGATGAATTTTATTTGCAAAAGGATGAATGTAATCTGCAAAAGAATAAATTAACATATAATATGAAATCTACAGCTTCGTTGAAGCAGTTTTGCTCATCAAATCCTTGAAAAATTTTTAAACATTCTTGTTGCCAGATCATCGAAACACTTTACTCTTTTCACTTTCAATTATTGGCGGCTGATTTGAATAAGTTGTTCAATTACCTTGTGTCTAACGCCGCATTTTTCTTTCGTTTCGACAACATTCGAACTGTCAACGATGTTTCCAGTTTCTGGAGGGGTCTCGGGTGGCGGAATTAGAAATTCCGAGGAAATGTCAGAGTGGTCCGGTTGTATCGATTGCTCCTCCACAGGTGTGGGTCTGTGCGTTTGGACAACGGGTCTCGGGGTTGTCTGAATCGACGGCACTTTTGTAATCGGGGGTCTCACTTTGGCAATGTTCAAAAACGTTGGGAAACCTTGCTCGTCGAAGCCGCCGGTATAATTTGCCGGAAGATTTCCTGCTGGCCATGGATCCACGTAATTTGGGTCCCGACAACACTTGCCGATTATTCCGCTCTCAGGATTTTTACATGGCTGTAAAATACGCAGAAATTTAAATATCCGTTTGATGATATGACCGCGTCGACGACATTTTTAATTACAAATGGAAATTTCGCATCGAGTCCTCGTTAAATTAAATGTCAAATGTTAATCATGCATTTTATATTCCAGTTAAAATCACGATAATTAAATTCTAAAATGAAACTGTAATTAAAGAAGATGCTTAATCTTTTTTTTGTCCCTTGTAGGAGATATGTTTCGATTATTAGGTTGATTTCGAAATAGTTTTCGTTCTTGTTTTTCGAATTTATACATAGTGACGAGCAAAAGTGTCCAGACACCATTTAAAACGGTATAACTTTTCTAAAATTGGTCTAAATAACTTAAATCTTTTTAGAAGAATTTATTTTGTTAGAAGAATTAGTTCACTGTACAGTGACTAAAATACTTTTTTTTTTAAATTTTGCTATTATTTGGAATTATAAACATGTGAAATAAACTTTCGTCTTTTCATCTTTTTTATCTGAGTTTGAAAATTGCATTGAAATCGGCTGACACATAGTCAAACTATAGCCACTGAAAAATGTAGAAATTACCTGTTTTTGATGGAAATTTGTAAAAAATTGCGATTTTCGTAATCTTTAATTGCTTGTAGCTTCTGTCAAGATCAACCCGATTTCGGTGAAATTTTCATAATTTATATAGTTACCGAGATCTACAAAATGCATTTTTTAAATTTTCCTTATAGGCTCAGATAAAAAAGTTGAAAACACGAGTTTCTTATTTAAATATATGACGTAGAATACTTTCGTGTATGAGTGTATAACTGAGAGACGTACAGTGCCTCACAAAAGTGTTCGTACACCTTTTAAAACGCAATAACTTTTTCAAAATTGAACTAAATGACTTGAATTTTTTTAGATGACAGGGAACTAGTCTACTAGACGATGACTAAAAGCTTTTTTTTTAAATTTTGCTATTACTTGGAATGAAAAGAAAAAATTAAAAACCCTCGTTTTTTTAACTCTTTTATTCATTTGCATTTGCAAAATACTGTCGAAGTCAGTATTGTGGACAATATTCGATATATATATGTACAATATTCAAAAACTAATAAAATGTAAAATATGCATCGCAATCAGATTTTAATACAAGACTTGAGAAAATATCTTATTTTCCCAGAATGTAGCTAGTAATAACATTTGTCCCAAAGGTGTTACTACCATGGCTTATGAGCGAATGTAATTCAAGGTCACTGAAGGACCTTGAAGGTCAACACAGAATAATTTACCTCGAGAGAGAGAGAGAGAGAGAGAGAGAGAGAGAAGGAGAGAGCTATCATACACGACAGGGTGATCCACTGTACTTGTATTCCTCGCTGTTAAAATAAGCGTTCAAGTTCAAGCGTCTCGATTTCTTTTGGCACACAAACACGCTGGTTCTCCCATAGTTTGGTGACATTCACCGTGAATGAAAACCATATCGACTTTCTCCGCTTTCTTGTAACGCATTCTGGCTGTGCCGAACGTACTTTAATTGGCAGTATGCCGTAAACCAATAATTAGTCTGCGGGTGTTTACGCGAACAGGAATTTTGGACTTCTGCGTACAGTTATTCGTTAAAATATTCAGACATTGTTTAAAAAGGAATAACAGTTTTAAAATTCCACCAAATGACCTGAATTTTTTTCTTTTTTTTAGATATTGGAGGGACCAGTTTACTACAAAATATCGAAACGAATTTTTTGCAAAAGTTGCAATTGATTGTAACGGAAACAAAATAACTGTTTTATGCGAACCTATAAAGAAAATTTAAACTCCAGTTTTGTTACAGTCATGTTTTGATCAATTGTTGCGAGAAACTGCGATTTTCGCTGTTTTTAATTGCTTGTAGCTCACAGGATAGCCTGCATATGTGTAATTTGCCAAAATTTCTATTTTCTATTTACAAGATGTCTAGTTACAACATTTCTACAAAATGTATCATTAATGAACATAAGCGCAACCTAAAACTTCATTATCTTTACAGACTCCAAAACTTCAACTTGTAGCTATTAAATAACACTGTCCGACATAAATTTTGTCTTTCAATAGCCATTGGGTGATCCTTGTAGAGCTTCACTTCCCGAACAAGAATCTGGAAACCGAATTGTTATATCATTTCCGGTTTTCGAAAAACACGAGCTTTTGTAAAAACCCAGAATTTTCGACAAACATGAGGCATTCCATGAAAAGTAAAAACGTTAGAAAGTTCCGATCGTTCTTGACAGACAGAGGAAAGTTTCACGAACGTAGTGGCATACAATTTATTAATTGTTTTCGGTCCTAAATAACTATAAATTAATGTCAAAGTTTAAAAAGGTGTCGACGTGCGTAGTTTCTCCGTAATACTTTTGTATTTTTATGAAAAGTTCTATGTCCAGTATGAAAACTCTACCTATGATCGGATTCTGTAGACATTTCTGAAGAAGAAACTGCCCGGTAGAAGTATCGAAACGATTTACATTTCGAGCAGGCTGAGAAAATATTCGCCGGCAACGCGTACACGACATTTTGCCGCCATGTGCTCCGCTGTTCACTTCTCTCGATTCGTCAGGGTCGATGTGCTATGCGTAATCAACACCGATAGAGGGATTCAATGGGGCATCCACTTTGTGTAAGTTGTATTTGAGTTTTTTTTAGTACTTCAGTGTTCCGTCTTTTTTCATATATTCTTCTGGATACTAATCACCAAACTGTGAAGTACCTTATAATTGGTATCAATTAACGAAAATTCCATTGAAAATTATAATTATAGTTGAAGGTTTAGTATCAACAACAAAAAATCCAGGGTTGACCTTGAAGTAATGGCATACGTCAAATTAACTCGTAACCAGTGCAGTCAGGAAAAATTACTACGCGAGGCGACGCATGCGCAGAGAGTCCCGCACAACGGCGTGGAGCGTCTACCGGCTGAATATTGTAATTCTGAACTACGATGGCAACGTAACAATGTTCAGCCGATAGACGTCCCACACCGCTGTGCGGGACTCTGCGCATGCGTCGCCTGCCTCCACTCCTTGCGTAATGATTTTTCGTAACTGCACTGTGGTGACGTACGTCAAATTGACTCGCGTATTAAGGCGACGCTCACGTCAATAGATTTTCACATCAGCCATGAGGTACTAGTGTTAATGCGTTTTGTTTTGTCAGTGATGTGAAAATCTATTGATACGAGCGTCGCCCTAATGCGCAACGGATTTACTACGATACGCGCCTGAGTTACTGTGAACCGGCGAAAGCAATACGGGGAACGAGATGCAACGACGCGGTGGCCAGGGGGCGTAGTCCTCGCGGTATTAAGATGGAGGAAAGATTCTTGAATATGTCAGTATCGATATTTATAATATTTTGTCGCAGGGGTTACTGCGACGGTTTATATAAAATAATCCGAGAGAGTTTTTTTGGTTTTTATATAACGAGAACTTTAATATAACTTGTAACAAAAGGCGATGAGGTACAGTGTGTAGAAGGTAAAGGTAAACGAGTGACGGATGAAACAGAAATATGAACACGTTGAGAGTCGGAGGAAAACTTGCTAACTGACTTCTCCCGGTCGAGAGGTCCTCGTATTTATTGGGGAGAACGTATTGAAATTGGTAAGGGAAAGTCCTTGGGAAGGGCGAAGGCCTTTCCCGAAGATTTTCCGACCGGGGTGATCCGGGACCTATGGTCCGAAGCTGTGTCCCAACGTTTTTATTGTTTTATTGCGGTGTGTACGCCTTGCGTCGGGAAAACCCGAAAAAGGCATATGTACACCCCGCTTTTGGAGGACGTGTCTTTTTATGTCTGATCCGCCACAATATTTTGTGTTTCTAAATAGTGTCAAATGACCGTCAAAGTTTTAAAAAAATGCCGAAGTACGGCATTTTCTACGGAATATTTTTGCATATTTACGAGAAATTGTTTATCCGACTCGAAAATTGACCACGACATCTGATTCTGTAAACATTTCTGAAGAAGTAACTATAAAGAAAAAGTGTCGAAGCGGTTTTGAATTCGTACAACTCGAGGAAATATCTGCCGGCGAAGCATACACGGCGTTGTTGCCGCCGCAAGGTGTGCTGCTCGCTTCTCTCGACTCGGCAGTGCCGCAGCTGCGCGTGATCAGTGCCAATAGAGGCGTCCAATAGGACACCCATCCCATGTGTGTAACGTTTGAATTCTTTTCTAACATTTAACTGTTCTATCCTTAGTTGTTTTTATATTCCTGTGCACATTCCTGATGACAAATGTTGAATAAAAAAATTATTAAATAAAAAATTCTTTAAGAAAATTCTTTAAGATAGCTTATGTGTAACTTAAAAACTTTAAATATAAAATTTGACAGAGTTTCACAATATTCTTCGGTAATATTACTATTTTCTAAATTGTTTCAAATCTTGCAAAATTACAGTAATTATATTTATATTGGACTACGTAGGTATAACAGTACCAATTATCAATAATTCTTTAAAGCGATGAGCGAATCAGTCGGAATTTACTTAATTAAAAATTAAATTTCGAACCGTATCCAACGATACAATAATGGAGAGCATACTAAGATCACTTGGAATAACTTTTTCCTTAGCGAAAATGCAATCTATAACTTCGTTTACAAGCTATTAACGAAAAACATTGTCCAATGAGAAGCGAACTCGCCTAGCGCCAGGCGACCAAGTCAGTCATCGGAACTGGGCTTCGTCCACTCGTTGGCTCGGAAGCCTAGCGCTAGACGAGCTCGCCTCTCATTGGTCAGTGTTTTTCGTTAATAACTCGTAAACGAAGCAGCGGATTGCATTTTCGCTAAAGAAAAAGTTACTTTAAATGACCTTAGGAACCCCACATTTCCGAAAATTATGGAGATCAAGAAGGTATACGTGTAACTGTCAAGTAAAACATTTAAATTTTCTCGTGCATCGAATATTGTAGAGGTAATATTAAATTCTACATATTTATTATTTTTTGTTTCAATGCTAAACTTAAAAAGTTTAGAAACAAAAACTTTCAATAACACGTTTTTTCGTTAAAATTAATTTAGAAATACTTGATAGATCGGTGATTAGTATTCACAGGAATATAAATAAAAACTGAAGCTAGAACAGTTAAATGTTAAAAAAGAAATCAAACGTTACTCACACAAAATGGGTGCCCCATTGGGCGTCTCTACCGGCGCTGATCACGCACAGCTGCAGCACTGCCGAGTCGAGGCAAGCGAGCAGCAAACCTTGCAGATATTTTCTCGAGTTATACGAATTTAAAAACGCTTCGACATTTTTTCTCCACAGTCACTTCTTTAGAAATGTCTATATAATCTGATATTGTGGTTAGTTTTCGTGTGAGATAAACAATTTCTCGTAAATATGCAAAAATATTCCGTAGAAAATATGTACTTCGGCATTTTTTTTAGATTATTAGAAGACAGAAAAAAAATGTTGATTTGTTGAACAGTGTTATTATACTACAGATTATTGTGCTACAGATTATTATATATATATTATAAAATAAAAATGGTTTGCATTAACTGCAAGATAAAGAAGCTACATAGATATTTCTTTCTTTCTTGAATTATTTTGT